TCATCGTCGTCATCATCATCATCATCATCATCATCATCACACTCTCTCACGCGCACACTCATCATCATCATCATCATCATCATCATCATCATCATCATCATCATCATCATCATCATCATCATCATCATCATCATCATCATCATCATCATCATCATATGTGAGTGCTGATGAGTCAGTAAGTGAGTGAGTGAGTGAGTGAGTGAGAGAGTGAGTGAGTGAGTGAGTGAGTGAGTGAGTGAGTGAGTGAGTGAGTGAGTGAGTGAGTGAGTGTGTAAGGGATGATGAGTGAGTGAGTGAGTGAGGAATGAGTGATGATGATGATGGTGGGTTCCTACCCTGCGCGGGGTGTCCAGAGAAAAAACAAGAACCCCACTTTGGATGTGGGGAATAAGGATAAGAGTCAACTTAATCAGGTCGAGCGAGTCGGAGGGCCCCGCATATTCCCACCCTAGCTCCCACAACATAAGAATCAAATATGGCACAGCTTGATTTTGTGATTGGAACGCGCTCCCACCTCGCGAACGGAAGGCGCTCGCGCGCCGCACCGCTTCCGGCGACTTGGCGAAAGAAAACTACGCGGGCCGCGCAATGGCGGAAACGGCAAAACTTCTGATGAGGGCGGCGAAGGCGAAGCATGCGCCACGCTTACGCAGCACTGCTACTGTTACTCAAAAACTGCGCGGCGCGTGGGCGGGATCGGCATTCAATCCGCTCTCGCGCGGCCCCGCTGCCCGTCGCTTTCATGCGACTCGGCGAACGACGAGGGAACGCCACTTCCGAGCGAATTGCGCACGAAGCTTGGGCGAGGCCAACAAATCGCACACACGCGCGACCCCCCGAAATTTGTCGAGTGAAACAGATGTGCCGCGTCGATGTCGATGCGGGAGCGCCAGCTTCAAGTGAAATCTGCGCAGCGCTGACTCGACAACTACATGTTCGCCCGGTCGCGCTTCGACGAAGTTGCGTGCATAAATATGCGCCGCGCCCAAGCGGCAGCCCAATGCATGTTTGATTCGAGCATCGTCGACGTCTTGTGCTTTTGTTCACACGTAGGATGCAGGGTCCCAGATGTGTGGGCTATCGGCCTGCTGCGGTGGAGAGTAGGTATGTACTCACAGGGTTAAAATTGTGGAACGAGTCAGTGCGAGAGCGACATTCTCGCCCGCTCGCGCGTCGACGAAACCGCGTGCGAAAAATGTGCACTGCGCCCGAGCGGCCACGCATTTTGCAACATGGACGACAGAACAGTCATGTTGAAACGGGAAATAATGTTGTGCGATGTTTGACTGGTAGGCTGGGACCGCCTGGATGGGATTACTATCGGCCTGCTTAGCGGCAGGATGGGAGTATATTCAAACAAAGGAAGTAGTAATGATCGGGTAGGATAGAGTAAAGCAGAGACGATCAGTCTGGGGTACGTACGGAAGGGGGTAGAGTACGACTAGGGTAGAATGGAACCTACTATGAAAGAGCAGGGTAGATGGTAGAGTCAGTCGGGTAGAGTAGAGTAGACTAGAGGAGCGTAGACAAGAGTAGGGTGGAACAGGAGTAGTGTAGAGTAGGCACGGAATAAAGCATGATAGGAGTAGAGGGGAGTAGAGTAGAACATAATAGAATACAGCAGTGCAAAGTATAGTGCAATAAGAATACACCACGGTAGAGTAGAGAGGGCTCGACTCGACTAGACTGGATTAGAGTATTGCAAGGCTGGGTAAGGTAGAATAGCGTCGAGTAAAGCAGGATAGAGTAGAGTATGGTATATGGTGTAGTACAGTCGGGTACACAAGAGCAGAGAAGAGCTGCGTAGAGTAGAGTAGAATAGTAGAGACCGTAAAGTGAAGCAGACCAATCCAGTCCAGACAATCTACTCCAATCTATCGAGTCCAGGCCGGTCCATCCACCCCAGTGCAGCCCAATATTCTCCAGGCCAGCGTGCTTCAGTCCATTCCAGTAAATTGCAAACCAGTCTTCTGATGTGTTTGAAATCTGCGTTGGCTGGTACTATGTTTTCGACCTCCGGGGGCCCTCGCCGGTCGCAGGAACAATCAAAGAAGAACTCCGAATGAAAGAACGTTCCCGTGGAAGTGATCGAGAACTCTGGGGGTCGACGTTGCGACAAAATCAAGGCGTCGGGGGTCTGGGCTCGCTGCCTCCATCCCTCGGCCCGCCTCCCTCCCTGCCTCCTCCCTCCTCGCGGCGCTGCGGTTCTGGACGGGCCCGCAAGCAGAGCCGATCCCGTCATCCCTCCCTCCCTTCTCCTCCTACTCCCTCCCTTTCTCTCCTCCTCCTCCTCCTCCTCCTCCTCCTCCTCCTCCTCCTCCTCCTCCTCCTCCTCCTCACCACCACCACCACCACCACCACCACCACCACCACCACCAAGCCCCCCCGGCCCGAGAACGGCGATTCATGGGAGGCTGCGCAAAAGGATGCGCATTCATACCTCGCGCCCCGCATGGCGCGCCCTCCTCTCGCGGCGAGATGGCGGTTCCTGGCGGCGTGGCCGATCTGGTGTTTCCGGAAAATCTTGGATCTCATGAAATTGACTCCTTGGAGCGCTCAGAACGCGAGCACCGAGGAACGACTTTGTGATATTTCTGCTGAATTCCGCTACGTTGATCTGATCTGTTTTAGTGGCACAGGAGAGCGAAGAGGAGATCTGGATACAGTTCGAACCGTACTGCCCTTCCATACTGCCTGGCGCTCAGGCTGGAGTTCCCAGCCCGCGCGCCAACAAGATCTGTGGTTGCACCATTATTGTTCGCCGTCGTGCCCCCCGTAACCCCCATTTGATGGACACTCCTCCTGTACCCGCGAAGCTGAGAGGTCGCGTCGCTTTAACACGCCTTCGGGGAGGAAGGTTTGACATCCTCGCGCCCATGGCGCATTTCCCCCCGCGACCGTCGGGCCGACGGCAGGCGACGGAGTCCGCGCTCGCGGGCACGCTGCACCACGAGTACAGAGCCACTGTTGACGCCCTCTGCGACTGGAGCGAGAAGACCCTGACCTGGGCGCGAGGACGGTCTGCAGTCTTCTTCGGCTACGACCTGACTGGCGGCTTCGGCCTCAGGCATCGCGGGCAGCAAGTCCACGAGCAGGTCATCTCCGACGCGCTCGGCCCGCGCGGCCGCTAGGCGCAGCACTGCGCCGCCGACAAGCTGCTCGAGATCCTCGAGCGCGTCGCCACGCGCGCCATCACAAGCGACTTCGACATTGGCCCGACCTTCCACGGCGCAAGGAGCGCCCCCCACATCGACCACGTGGCCATCTTCTCGTGGCAGGCGCCCTCGACGCGGACGGCCCTGCCGCTCAGGGGCGCCAACTTGCGCCTGAAGCTGATCCCGCGCCCTGGCCGCCAGGATCATGCCCCGATCTTGACTGGCACTGGCGCGGCGGCGTTCGTCCGCGAATTCGAGGGGGCCTTCGCCCAGCGCCCCGACCATTTCCACGCCGGCGCCCCCGACGCCGCGCGGGGGCGCTGGATGGGGCAGCACCCCACAGCAGCGCAGAAGCACTTCGCGGGCCGAGCACCAGTGCATCCACGCGTTCAACGGCTTCGCTCCTAGCGGCTTCAGCTCTCGGCGGACCGCCGCGATCTCCGATAGGCTGGCGGGGGCTCGACCGAGATGGCGCGATCTCCGATGGCTGGCGGGCGTCGCGACGCCTGCGCGCCCACCGACGCGCGCGAGTGGACGCCCAGGAAGAGATGCTCGTCGCCGACGTGCACGAGGCTCGGCAGAAGCGGCACTTCGCGGAGGCGCGGCGCCTGGGCCACCAGGTGGCTGCCCAACGCAAATGGCCCCGCAGGCGGCGCTGCGACGTCGGGAACAGCCTCGTCCCCAGGCGCGCCGAGACCGCGCCGCACTTCGCCCAGACCGGCGTCGCGGGCGGCCTGGACGCGATTCCGATCGACTTCGAGGAATTCCGCCAGCAGTATTTGGAGGCGCTCTCGCGGGCGCCAATGCACGCGCGCGACCACCTGGACCTCGGCCGCGAGGACTTCGATAACTGCGGGGACAACAAGCGACTAGTACCAGATCTGGAGCAACCGCACTGGGAAAAATTGAGCCTCCCTATTCCTGCCTGCCGTCCTTCGTCCTCCCTTTCTTGTTTCCCCTATCCTCCTCCCGCTCCCGTCCTCCCGTCCGCCCCCGTCCTCCTGCCCCTACCGCCGTCCCTTTTTCCGTCTCCGCCCACCCCTCTCAGCCCCTCCTCCTCCGCCACCTTTTTGCTTTCGGGGTACGGGCGGGGCGGGCAGTGCGGGGGAGGCGAGAGATGAGAGGTAAGGAAGGACAAGGAAGAGCAGAGGGAGGTTAGAGGGAGGAAGAAGAGAGGAAGAGGTAAGAGAGAAGAGACGAGGGAGCGAGAGGAAGGAAGGGTAAGGAGAGGGGAGGGAGGCTAGAGGGGGGAGGAGGTGCGTGGCACAAGCACTGACCTCAAGCGGACTACGATTTTCTATCATCCCTGACCTCGCGGACCGAGGACTTCTGATGCTCTAGAGTCCCCGCGACGAGCAGCGCGAGCAGGAGGAGCAGGCGAAAAGGATGGGGAGGAGGATTGGAAAGGGATAAGGAGAGGATCGAAGGAGGAGGAGTAGGAGGAGCAGGAGGGTGCACGGGGGGAAGGGGGGAGGACGACGGGAAGGAGATGAGGAGGTAGGACGAGGCGTAGCAGGATGAAGAACAGAAGGAGCAAGAGGGTGACGTCGAGGAGGTGAGGAGATAGGCTACAGAGCTGAGCGCCGCCCGCGGTCGCACCTGAGGCTGTGTGATCGTGTGTGTGTGAGAGAGAGTTTCGCTATATATGTGCACCTGCTCTCGTGCGCGTGCGTGCGCTGGGCAAGCGAGGAGGCGGGCACGCCATCCACCAGTTCGCGAACCGATGGAGCCGCCTTGCGCCCATATCCACTGGGCGTGCACCCGAAAAAAAAAGCCAGCGGAATCTGAGCGCGCCCCGAGGCGGCTCCGCAGGAGCCCAGTCGAGCAGGCATCTGCTGGCGGCGCCTACGCAGCTGGAGGGAAAAGCCCGATCACGAAGCACCTCTCGACCCCGAACCCTTCCTTCTCGAGCCACTCCGACCAGATCGTCTTCAACTCGGCCTTGAGGGCCAACACACTGCTGCCGCCGTGGTCGGCGAACCGCTCGCTGGTGCGCGGGTTCGGCGGAACGTGGCCGCACCAACCCTGGCCCACGTTGTTGCGCCAGATCGACGCACCGTACTCGGGAATGAACATGCGCGCCTCCGCCTGGTCGATGGGGTGGAGCCCCTCCAGGCTCCTGTTCACAGGCGCAGCCTTCGGCTTTGCCTTGCCCTTCGCCTTGGCCTTGGCTGCTGCCTTGGCCGCTGCCTGGGCCACCTGGGTGGCCTTCTGCAAATACTCCTGCTTGTAGCTCTTCTGCTCCGCCTTGGTCGCTGCCGCCGACTCCTTGGCCTGCTCCATCTTCTGGATGTCGTTCTTGTCGAGAACCTCCGCGGCGTCGTCCACCTCGAGGATCGTGTCGACGTCGAGCTCGCCCTTCTTCTGCTGCGAGAGGCGCTTGAACAATATCTCGACCGCCTTGGCGTCGGAAGTCTGCAGCACCTGCTTGCACACGCTCCAAAGGAGGCCGAACAACGAAGAGGCGACGGGGACGACGAGGCCGAAGTGCTTCGCGTACATCGCGACGGTCGCGCGAGAACTCGTCCACCACGACTTCTTACAGGCGATCTCCAAGAACGGTCCGTCGCCATCATCGTCCCAGAACAGGCGCAAGCCAGGGCGCAAGGAGCCCAGGACGCGCCTCGGCAACTGGACGCACTGCGCGAACCACGACTTCCACTCCAAGCCGACAATGCGGACGGCGTCGCCCTTGAGATCCCACACTGGCTTCAGGACGGGCTCCGCGAGGTCCGTCTCCAAGGTGAACCACGCCTTCCCCCCACCAGCCCCCAAGGTGCAGGGCCAGAAGAGGACGCTCGACTTCGGGAAGGGATGAAGGGCCAAGTACCACTCGCGAGAGCCATCGGCCTTCAAGAAGCCAACACCCATCAAGTTGTCCAGAGTGAACACGTCACCGAGCCAAGCGTCCTTGCATTTGGAGAAGTTATTGCTGGCGAGCGCCTCGCGCATCATGTACAAGTCGGCGGTGGGCAAGTTCATGTTTCGAACGGACGGGCTGAACCATCCAGGGTTGTCAGCGGTTCCGCATACGCCCTTGAAGTCCATGGACATGTCCTTCTCGGCTGGGCTGAAGGCGTTCTTGTGCAACCTGTCGCGGGGGTCGAACGGCGCCGAGTGTATCTTCACGGGCTCGTACTTGTGCTTCTCAATCAACTCGCTCTCCAAGACCGTGCCCATCAACCTCGCAGGGCGCCTGAACTCCCTGCATGGGACGGGGGCCGACGAATTGGCCTGGTAACCGTTCATGCCCTCAATGACCTGGTGGCGATGCACTGCAAGGTCCGATCACGGATCATCTTCTGGAGGTCCTGGTGGGGGCGGTAGTCAACGTCTGCAAGGGCAGCGATGATCTGCTTGTTAGAAGTTAGCTCGAACTGGTGCCGCGATAAGATAGCCTCGTCAACATTCGTCTTGCCATCGTAGATCATGTACCCGTTCTTGGCGACCAGGTCCTGGCGGAAGGCGTCGATGACTCTCTCTTGGTAGCCGCGGCCCTCCACGCAGACACCGAACATCTTCCCAGGCCAGCCGTGCATCCACAAGCCGCGAACGAACAGCTCCGTAACGCACCCCATGCACAACTGCCCAAAGTAGTACGCGAACTCATCCTCCACCACCGCGTCCATGGAGGCGTCGTTCAGGAGGTGGCCGAGGCTGTAGTCTGGGCTGGCGGGCACCATGAACTCTGCAGACGCGAGCGCGTGAACGTTGAGCAAGAGCTTGGTGTTCTCGCAGACGAACTTGGCGTAGTCCCCAGTGACCATGCGGATGATCCACCCCGAACAAGCATTGACAGACCGACAGCTCCGATTCTGCTCCGTGTGGTAGTCGTCCAGCGGCTTGGTGGTTGCCACGATGCAGTTGATCAAGCGTCGATTGTCATCGTTGGACAGCGTCATGATGGAAACCACGCACGCGTTGCCGCAACAAGCCCGCGAAGACGTGTCTTCGAACGTGACCTTCCGCTGGGCTGTTGGGCCATCGGCCGCCGCGGCGCCGTCACCAGCGCCGACGCGGGCCCGAAGTGCAGTGACGAACCCCTTGCCTTTGAGCATGTCCGTCTCTAGTGCCAGCAAGGTGCGCTCGAAAAGGTGCACCGCCCAGTACCCTTTGTTCTTCTTGCAAGCGTGCAATGCTGCCCCAAACCGACACATAGCGATGCGACGGCCAACGGGGTGGTTCAACCGACTCTTCAGGAAGTCCCACAGCTCCTCCTCCAGAAGCCGCTGGCGCGGGAAGGCGCAGATCTGGGCACCCTCCAGCTGCTCGACCATGGCGGGGGCCATCTCCATGAACAAGGGGAGCTCATTGGGGCGGAACCGATCCATGACCACGCGAATGACGCCTTCGACCTGCCAGCGACGACCCTCGTTGTTGAAAGGGCCGTGCTCGAAGTTCCACGATATCAACAACAATAACAGCAGCTCCCACTTCTTGATCCGCTTGACCATCCCCTCGAACACGCACTTCGTCATGTGCGACTGGCCGGGCCAGATCCACACGTTAACCTTAAAGTGGTAGAGCAGCGCGTGCACGCCGCTGACCCCGTCAGATCCAAGGTCCATCGCGAGGCCGCGCCCTGCCCAGTCTCTCCAATTCGCGTCTCTCCAAGCTGCCACATCGGCATCGTAGCTGGAGAACTTGAAGCCGTTGTAGATTGTACTGGTCTGGAGCTGGGCGTCGAGCTTCTGGATCCACTTCATCGCCGTCTGTCAGTGCACCTTGGGTGGCCGCCACTTGGTCGCGTCCTGGCCCCTCAGAAGCCACGAAGACTGGCGCTGGATCACCGAATCTGGCGCCACGGACCCCTCGCGCTTCCTCTTCAGCCCCCCCTGCCCCAACAAGTGCATGTCATCGATGCCGACGTCGACCTTCAGACGGGGCATGGGGGCGACCCCATGCGCACGAGGACACGGGCACCCATCCCCCGCACGCCCCCCCACCCCCCCCCCCCCAGACCTGGAGACCCGACCCGGGCCTAAAATCAAGCAGCCCACCTGGGTGAGCGGCCCGACGGCGTGGGTGATTTAGTTGTGGTTGTAGTCGATTTCGCCTCCTGGGAGGGCGAAATCGACTACAACCAGTACTAACTCGGGGTTCGTGACCTGGATCGCCCCCCCGCGCTCTGGGCGCCCGTGTCCTCGGACGCGCGACGTTGCCTTCACGCCCCGAAGCACCACAGGGCAACACACGACGCCGACGTTGTTGGCATACGTGAGCAGGGTGTTCGTGACCGCCATGGCTGCGGGGGAGGCCTTGTCGCAGGCGATGCCAACGACCCTGTAGTCCGCAGAGACCTGGGAGCCTGCCAACACGCACTGGAACAACTTCGCGTCGAGCATGGGGTCGGAGGCGCTGATCTCTTTATTCTTGAACGTGAACGTGGTTGGCTCGCCCGAGTCCTCGCGGCCGTGAAGGTGGCCCGCCAGCACCCTCTCCAGCTGCAGCGCCAGGTGGTGCAAGACCTGAGAGACGAGCCAGGAGAATATCTTTCGGATCGCGCCAGCACGTAACAAGCGCATGAGCGGCCACGGCTCGGCGCACTTGAACGGGCCCTCGTGCAGCGGCGATGTCTGCTGGATGCTTGACACCCACGACTCCAGCAGGGGCGCCATCGGGCGATCGAGCTCCCACTCCTTGGCGACGTCTGGCCAGACTAAGGTCAGGTCGGAGTCCACGTAGGCGTCGACGACGATTCCGTCCGCAAGCGCCGACGAAGGTCTCGGCCACCTGCATTTCCATTCAGCCAAGAGGAGGATATTGAACTCGCGCTTGACCTCGCAGTGGGCCGCGGACTTCAACAGACTCTGCAAAGCGCTCTTGGCCGCAGATGGCCCATCCTCGGCCTTCATCCCCCCGCGGGCTGGCGGGGCGAATGACCACCGAACCAACTGCTCCAGGAGCATGACGGTGTTGACGCACGGCGTCGGGAGGCATCTCCACTCATATGGAATGTCGGTCTTGCTCTTATCTCCAGAGCTCGTTGACTGAACGATGTGCTGCCCAGGGAAGTGGCCCTCTATGTGTTCCCGCCAGCTCTTTCGGCATGCCTGGAACCATCTGCTGGGCATGCCCTTGAAGGCCTTCACGCCCAAGACCCTGTAGAGCTCAGCCGCGGGCCAATACACACGACAACCTGCGTCCCGAGCACGTTGGAACACGAATACGGGCATGCTGGACCACGAGTCGGCGATGTCCGCACGAATCGCCACTGATCCCTCCCGAAAGCGGGACATGATGACTTGCAGGGGCACGGCTTTCGGCTTGTCAGGGAAAGTGATGAGCACGTGGCCGTTCCCGTCCTTGTACACGTCCTTCTTGAGCAGGTCGCACAAGAGCTTCACGACGGGCTCCGAGCCCTCGCGGACGCCGACCACGGCGCCCTTGCCGTCGCCGTCGTACTCGACCTCCCACGTCATGGAGCCCTTCAGCATGTAACGGTCGAGCGTGATCACGTCCGTGATCTGCGTGATGTCGCCGTCGACGTCGTCGATGTAGGTCCTCTCGGCGTGTGGCACCCACGGGGCGTCGACGCTGCGGGCGTCGGCGGGCGCTGCCTTCTGGCCCCATTCGACCCCGTCCACGTCGAACGTGTAATCGTCTGCGACATCCATGTGGTTGCCACGTGCGAACCACACCTCAAAACATAACTGGAGCCAAAACGGCTACGGTGGAGAGGGCTTCGCATCGGCTCGTTGCTTTGATCACCCCACTCTCGCCGAATGCGACATCGCGGGGGGCCACGGGCTTGGGTGGGCGATGTCCCGAGGGCGGGCTTGCAATTATAATTGCAAACCCGCCCTCGGGACATCGTCGCAACTCCAGGCTCACTCGACGGCCTCCTATGAGGCCGTCGAGTGAGCCTGGAGTTGCCATGGCCTCTTGATCCCACCTCCTTCTCTCTACTCTGGCTGAGGCGACCTCTGTCAAGGCACGCGCTGCACACTCCGATTCCGTGAACCCCCCCCCCGCCCCTCCGCCCTCTATCCTTCCTGCCCGCCCCTCCTACTCCAGTTGCTTCGACAATCCCCATTACATCCACCCTCCCTTCCCCACCTAGCCCTCCCCCGCCCTGTCCGCGCGAATGGCGGGGACGGCAGTCGCGCCAGAGACCTCGGCGGCGACGCGCGATCTGCGGCGGGCGGAGCGGGGGGGGAGGCGGATGGAGGACGAGCGGAAGACGGAGGGGAGCAGAGGGGAAACTGAGGGAGGGAAAGGGTGACGACATGACGAAAGGGATAAGGGGGACGACGGTAAATTCACCTTGGGGACGAGGGAATGACTGATATTTCAAACCTGCGAGCTCGGTGGCCCGAAGGAGTCAGTCCCGCGGCGAGACGGCGCTGGGCCAATCGCCTAAAACTGGCACGCTGAGCGAGCACTGGCAGGGAGGTCGCACCCCAGAACGCGACCTCGCTATTCCTGCAGATGCGCGCAATCTGATTTCCGTTCGATCGTGCAGTGAATCGCTGCACGATAAACTCGCCCCCAACATAAAAGAACCATCGACTCACATCGCAAACTCGCACACCGAATGCGCATATCTGCAATCGTGCTTTCAAACGTAAGCACTATATAACGCGCAGCCCCGCCTGAACACACACACACACACACACACACACACACACACACACACACACACACACACACACACACACACACACACACACACACACACCTATCGCACTCTCACTGGACATGCCCAGCCCAGGCCAACTCACCCAAGAGACGTGACCGATCATCGAGATGTCGGAGCTCAACCGACGACTACCTTACACGTTCAGCTTGACGATCTTGCTCTGCTTACTCTGCTTGAGCTTCTCCGCGCCCCTCTTGCGAGCCTCCTTCATGCTCTCCTTCTTGGCATTGGCCTGCTCCTGCTGCACCTTCTCCACCAAGGCGTTGGGGGCCAGAACCTTCGTGGTGGCCGAACGCTTGTCCGACCACGTCTTGAAGTGCTCCTGCGCGTCGGCCTCCAACTGGCGAGGGTTCGACACGTAGCTCTTGTACTTCCACTGGCCCTTCTTGTCCTCCTTCTTGAAGAAGGCCTTGAGGAGGACGTCGGGCATGCAGGCGAAGACGAGCCGAGCCCTCATGTCATCAAATTGTCTTTCAAGCCCCAGGCGTACGTGATGCCCGTCTCCTCGGGGACCTCAGCCAGGTCGCCATTGAAGTGCTTCACCGTCTTGAGCTTGCCGTCCTCTTTGTCGAAGTCCAAAGAGTAGCACCCAACGACCATGTAGTTGATCGAACCATTCTCCTGAACGCCTCCACGAGTCACAAAACGGTGGAGACGATTTCCATAATGTGCGATGCGCTCGTCACGATAAGACTGCCACACCTCAACATTCTTGAACTCCTTCGGGAGCTTCCTCCCAGACGGGATCTGGAGAGCAAAGCTGACCAGCTCGTTGTAGTTGTCCTTCTCGGCGGCCAGCTTGACCACAGAGTCTTCGGTCATGTCGCTGTTCGTCATGAGGACGCCCACCTTCGCAGACTCATCCATGCAGGCCAACGTCTCAGCCTTATCCAGCATCGGCGCGCCCTCGATCGCCTCCTCCTGCCTGCGCGTGCGCTGGTGCTCCTGGAACTTGCCGCACAGCGGCATGATGAGCGAACGGTCCTTCAAGCAGCCATCCACCATCTCCATCAAGCAGTTGTGCACTGTGGAGGCCGCCGCGTCGTTGGAGTTCCCTTCCTTCTTCGGCGTCGGGAGGCGCAACACCGCAGAGGAGAAGTCGCCGCCCGACTGGAGTGAGCTGCCATCGGCACCGGCGGCGCCCGACTTCTTTGCAGGAGTCGGAGGCATGGCGGCGCCTCGAAGAGGAACCTCGGACTCCTCAAGAAAACATTCGGCCAAAATGGCTGAGGAGGTCACACGCGGAAACGTGGGCATGTGGGCGATAAGACACATCCCCCAAACATCCGACCCCCCTCGAAAGCCAACTCAGAGCAAACATAAATCATAGTTGCCAACAAGCATCCATTCATAACAAACCGTCCGCATATTCCTAAGCATGTCGTGCCGAAGTGTGTGAAACATGTGCGAAGTGCGTGACGCATGTGCGATGTTGTGCCATGCCCCCCCCAGAAGGCCCCACCCCGATCCCCCTACTCTACTCAACCGAGAAGCGCTTGACAGGGTACCCCCAAGAATTTGCGACGCACGCCCCGCCACCCGTCGTGGCTCGGTCTACTGGGGGCGGGGCGCGAGGATGAGGACGAGGAAGAGAGGGGGGGTGAGGACGAGGAGAAGGATTTGGAGGACGAGTTTTTATGTTTGCGAAGTATAAGAAAAACCACACTCAGTACTGGTCGTGGTTCCTTGTGGTACTCGGAATAACCTGACCGCGGTCATTTCGAAGGCTCCTCGAGGTCGGGCGGCACCGCCTCACAGCGTTCCCACGGAGGCACTTCGACTCGCACTAGAGCCACGGCTTCGGCATGATGGCCGACGGCGACGCCACCCACGCCGCCCTGGCGATGAAAATGAGGTGGGTGATGAACCTCACCGAGGCAATATACATGTTTGCCCCTCCCTTCTGCGAGGCGTACCACGCGCCGCTCTCAACACGCGGCATCGTCTTGCTGGAGATCGCCGCGGGCCCGGCCGCGACGTCGCGGAGTTCGACGCGCGTGTTGCCGAGCGGGCCCCGAAGACCATCCCGGCCCACATCAGGCGCTCATCTGGCACCACTACGTCACCGCGGCGCTCTACAAGAGCAAGTCCGATCTCCGGGCGAAGCGCTTCCTCCGCGGCCTCTGCCGCGTCGGGGCGGCTCGGTGCAAATCACCGCTCCGGCGCGCACCACCCGACCTCCCACCTCCGCGAGGGCGCGGCTACCAGCGCGGCCAAAACCGCGAAGGGGCACTTCTACGCCAGGAGGGACTTCTCGGTCGTCTGCGCCGCCTTGACACGTCCGCCCCCGCCACCAAGGAGGACGCGAGCAACGCCGTCGAGCCCTTCGAATGGGGGGCTCTTCGCCGCGCTGTCGAGGCGGCGGCGCGGCCCGAGGAACAAGTCCATCCCCGCCAGCAGCGCGAGCTCAGCACCTCTCGCGTCGCGGGCGCCGGCGGCGAAAAGGACGCGCACTACCGTTGCGGCGCCTTCACGGGAGACGCGCCCGCGGCGCTCCTCTTCGCGAGGAACTCCCGCGACCCCGTCGCGGCTCGGCTCCGTCGTCTACGCGCTGCCGCCAGGGCCGCCCACGACCGGCCCGACCCGCCGCCCCTCCACGACGACTGGAAGCGCCAGCCACTTCCCCCGCCAGCCCCACGGGCCGACATCGACACGAAGATCTGGCCAAGCGAGATGACGCGCGCGGCCCGGCGCCCACTCCACGAGGCGGCAGCCCCACTTGGCGCGCGGATCTACGCGGACGACACCAACCACGCGACCGTCATCACCACGGCCAGGAACGCAGGTTTCGCCCCGCGGCAGTCGCACCACGAGCTGAAGCGTTCTCTGCAACCCTGCGGCTACACGCACAAGCCGCCCAAGAGTTCGGCATCGCCCTGATTCGTCGGCCCTGGTCCCCAGCACGAGCCTCGCCAACTGTTCTGCGGCGCCCGAGGCCATCGCTGGCATAGTGCAATACGAAAACGGCCCTCGGCATCCAGATTTCAATTACGGGCAGCGCGCAGACCGAGCTTCGGCGACGTCTGCAAGCAGCCCGCATAGGATATTATAGCATGGGGCGCTTCTGCGACCACAGCCGCGCCTGGCGCCCCACGCGGATCGCGCTCGGCCCCGCGGCGCAGCAGACGGCGCTGAGCGACATGGGCGTTCTGGCGCTCAGCATGGCGCCGCAGCTGCAGTTCGACAAGGTGCTCGCCAGCCTGGCCCGTCGCACGCTTGCTGGGGCAGCCTGCCAGAAGATCCCGATCCTCAACGACGACGGGGAGCAGCAGCTGGACAACTACGGCAAGCCTCTCCTGCGCTACAAGGCGGCGACTGTCGCGGCGGTGCTGGGGCAGCTCGGCCATCGCGTTCGTCGCCTTCGCCAATATCAGCGTTGGCTTCGCCGTCCTGAACAGCGCCCCCAGGAGCTCGCCGCGGTCTTCGGCGAGCTGCCGCTGGAACCCAAGCCCACGCTCAACTCCGACGGCTCGGTCCACGAGGACGCCGCTCCGCGCGCGCTGCGATTTATTGTCGACGTGGAGGCGCTGCTACAGACCGCGGAGGCCGCCGAGCTGCGCGAGGACCTGCAGACGCCACTGGGAGCGCTCGACGCCGTCGAGCTGTTCTCCAGCGAGGAGCTCCGCAAGCGCCACCTGGCGCTGGATCCTGAGCTGCCGCGGGCGCAGGCGCGCGCGGCGAGGATTCCGCCGCCTGGCTGGCTGCCGCCTTCTGCTGCCGAGGGGCCCCCGCGCCGCCGACGGCGCCGCGGCGCTGCGAGCTGCTGAGCGCCGAGGTCACTTCGCGCGGGCGCGAGTTTGCAACTCGCCGAGCGTTGATCGCGCATCAGAAGTTTCTGAAAAAATCTGGCCACGGCTGCCGTTCGATTATCCACTCCATCGTCGTTACCAATCCGTGTATCTTTTGTGCCAACGCTGTCAAGACTAGTCGGATCGCCCAGGAACGCGCCGTCGCCGCTCGTTCGAGACGACGCTGCCCCATCCAGAAGTCTGAACTCTCCCTACTGCCGCAAGGGCGAGGAACCCCAGCCCCCGATGCGCCCCCTTGCTTCGATCACGGTGTCAGCTTTGTTCACTGGTTCCTCATCCTTGGAATTCGCCTGTTCGGTCGGGGAGCCCTTCGAGACCCTCGCAGCTCTGCAGGCGCACTTGCTCGAGCAGCACGCACCTCGGCCCGCGCCGGGGCGAGCCCCCGCGGGCGGCGACGGCGACCATGGCCTTTCGCCTGAGCCCGCAGGCGCCGCAGGGCGCCAAGGGCCGCTCTCGTTCCCACCCGCCGAGCCGCGCCAGTTCGCGGTGGCCGCGATGGCTCCGCGAGCGCCAACCGCGGGGCTCGCTCTCGCCGCCGCGATGGGGGAGGCCGCAGCAGCGATGCACCCGACGCCGCCGCCGCGTCGCAACCGGCCGCGGCCGCGGCGGGCGTCGCCGCGCCACGCCGGCAGCACGGCAGCCGCTCGGCAGCCTAGGACGAGATCGTGAAGACATACGGCCCCCTTAGGACGCGCTCGACAAGCTGCCAGCCATGGAGATGCAGATGGTGCCGCGGTTGGCTCCAGCATTCGCTGGCGCGGCGCTGGGCAACAACATCACTATTCGCTGGCTCATTGCGACGAACTACCACGCGGTCATCCTGGGCGACGACTCGCCTTTGGCGATCGCGGGCTTTACCGCGGGGAAGGCCTACGCGCTGGAGGCGCAGAAGCTTCGGGATCAGCACCGCGAGAATCCCAACCTGCACAAGGCGCCCGAGCTGATAATGGGGCCCGCCTGCGTCCAGGTGTTCCTCGAGGTCGCTCGCGCGATCAAGGACGCAGGCGACAAGGTGGGCGTGCGCAACAAGGATGTCTGGCTGGAGATCTGGACGCGTTCGGAGCCCATGGCGATCGAGGAGCCGACCTTCCTCATGCGGGGCTTCGGCGTCTCGCAATGCTTCAAGCAGGGGAACGCGAACATCACGCTGTGCATCAACGAGGTGGCGATCGAGAACAGCTTCCTGATGTGCGCCGAGCAGCTGGGCGCAGAGATCAAGCCAGGACTCGGCCCAAGGGGCGGTGGACCAGATGGCCTGAAGTCCGAAAAAATGGTGGTGGGCCCTGGCGCCCAGGTCGAGAGAGAGAGAGAGGGAGAGAGAGAAGCGGGCCTCCTCCCGACCGCTGCCTGGCTCGAGGGGGGCTACGTCAGCAGGTGCGGTGCGCTGCAGTGCGGCTGGGGGGCGCGTGGCCGAGTCGGAGGCGGTGAACCCTGGCGCCCAGGTCGTAGCCGAGGAGCGGGCCTCCTCCCGACCGCTGCCTGGCTGGAGCTCGAGGGAGGCTACGTCAGCAGCTGCGGTGCGCTGCAGCGCGGCTGGGGGGGCGCGTGGCCGAGTCGGCGGCGGTGAACCCAGGCGCCCAGGGCGTGAGCGGCGGCACGTACAGGACCGCTAGAGAAGGTGAGAGCGGCAGGCGCCGCCAAGTGAATGATCATCTTCCTTCCCTTCTCCCCCGCCCACGCAGCGGAGGCTCCGGCGCATTTACCATCGGAGACAATGAGCAATTGGTCCATTGCTGGGGTTGCCCCAAGAATGGTCCCGATGGCTCTGTCCCTGCGTCGACCCGTGCTGCCCCTCCCCTCCCTGACAGTGTACATGTTTGTCCCTCCTTTCCGCGACGTGGCGCCAGCACTAACAGCGCACGTAGCAACGCAGCAGCAACGTAGCAGCATAGCAGATTTGGAACGATTTTCGAAACTCAGCCTAACCGAGCAACTTACTTCTCGAGTCTCGCCTCAAATGGTAGAGCGAAGACAAGTCGTGGCTCCCAGGGGAGGGCACGCCTTGAATTGTGGAGTCCACCGCGCACCGCAGGTCGTACATATCGAATATTTTGATGTGTCTAGTGGTGGTTGATCCCCTTCGACACGAGGCCCGAAGCAGCGACCGACCGACCTCACCACCATTATCCACTTCCCCCTCCCTCCTCTCTCCGCCCTTCTCCTCCACTCTGGCCCTCCCACTCTCCCTACCCTCATGGTCCTCCTCCTCCTCCTCCTCCTCCGCATCCTTCTCCTCCTCCTCCTCTGGTGCTCCGGTGGTCTCTCGAGGGAGGAGCATGAGCAGCCGTCGTTGTCGTCGTCGCCGCCGCCGCCATCGTCATTTCGTCGTCGTCGTCGTTGTCGTCGTTTCGTCGTCGTCGTGGTCGTTGCCGTCGTCTCGTC